TGTGTGTGTGTGTGTGTGTGTGTGTGTGTGTGTGTGTGTGTGTGTGTGTGTGTGTGTGTGTGTGTGTTAGTAGAATGGTGTGAGATTGGAAACATGTTGGATCAAATCCTCAGAAAGGTTTCACTTTTAAACTGACAGACCTGAAGAGGAAACTGAAATGTGAACCGAAACAAAAAATGAAGCCTCACAACAAACGGCACACTCATAAGTGGGTGGCTGAAAGAACGAAGGCTGCTGGTTCAATTCTCCACATCAGCCGGCTGTAGTTATTTTCATAGACTGCAACGATGGTAAACTTTGAAAATGATTAATAAAATTGAAAAAGGAGTGGTGTCCTAAATGTCAGCAGAGCTGTTTACCAATCCTCAGGTTGGTTGTTTGATTCTTGATGAGGATGAACATTTCTAAACTCTGCACAAAAAGTAGATTATTTCTTTGTTGTAACAGTGCTTCTTAGCAATAAATTTTATAGCAGCATCTGATTGGCAGCACCTGGGGATACCAGAAGCTCAAACCAAAAGTCAATAACAACAAAATAAGTTGTTTGGTGGAGAAGATTTGGCCAATTTTTCATGTGCTCTACATACTCAGCTCCACTGCTCATCCCACTAATGCATGTTCCTTACAAATGTGGAACCATTTAATATGGAATTTAACAGGCTTTCCAATTGCCAAGAGGCATTGTTACAACAAAAATACATCCATCCATCATCTATACCCGTTTATTCATTTTCTAGGGTCACGGGGGTGGGGATGGGGGGCAATGGTGCCCATATCCAGCAGTCACAGTGTGAGGGGTGGGGTACACCCTGGACAGGTCGCAAGTCCATCACAAACAAACAAAAAATAATAATAATCTACCAAAAACTTATTTCCAAAGAATATTTAACCAACTGTCGTCAAACTAAATTTTGTGAAAAAAAAAGATCAAATTCTTCCAAAACAAATGTTCAGGAGTCTTTGTGAGTAGCTCAGGGTGGAAGGTCATCTGTTTAAATCTCATCAAATTTTTTAACGCTATTAAAAGATGAGAAAATCTAGACCTAAAAGGTCTGTGAGAGCATCACTGTGGTGCGGCATGAAAGTCTGACCTGGAAATGTGGAAGACCTGTGTCTGAGTCCTGCCTACAGAAGGACCAACAACAAGCTGATGGGGTTTGTGTTTGGTGGATTTGTTGTAACAACGTCCACACAGATAAAATCAGGTGTTTATTTTTTTTTATATACAACCTTTTCTGCATGCTGACCAGCTGTTTGCACCTTTCACCTCTTAAGTGTCTGTCACTCATCATTTGGGCTCTAGAAACAGTTCGGACCAGGAACTTCAGACCTCTGCTGTGCTTCATCTGGATGTTCTGAAGTCTGGAGGATCAAAACTGACATAATTAAACATAAAAGCAGAAGTAAATAAATGATCCAATAACTAAAAAAACTGTTAATGCACCAATTAAACTCAAAAATGAGAACTTTACTTCATGCTTTATATTTTAATTGACCTTCATATTTATTTTTCCAGCTTAGTTCCAACAAATTGTTTATTTTAGAACAAAACTTAAATTTTACTGGTTTCATTTTTCTTTTTATTTGTAATTGCGCTTGTTTCTCTAAAATTGCATAAGGTAAAGTAAAAACAGCAAGCACATGGAAATAAAAAGACTTGTGGGAAAAAAATCTATTTTTAAATCTAATAGATATGAGCGCATTGACAAGTAAAAGGAAAAACAAAAAGTAAATATTAATTATGGGCTAAAATATATAATTTGTTGGAACTAAGCTGGAAAAATAAATATGATGGTCAATTAAATTATAAAACATGAAGTTCTCTTTTTTCATTTGATTGGTGCATTTATTTATTTATTTATTGGGCCATTTATATATTTCTGCTTTTATTTTCAATTATACTACTTTCAGTCCTCCATACTGAAGGA